AAAACACTTTTTTATCCAAGCCACATGGTAAAAATATTACAATATTTTGAGCAGGAAAATCTTAAAACAGAAGATAAATATATCTGAATGTTTGGAATGCTGAATGCGTCTGATTTTTTAGAAAATTTGTTATACAGACTGTATTAAATCTTAAGATTTCATTATGTTTATTTTCAGACAAGTAATATTTCATCAACAATTAACAATGCATTAAACACTATGGAATGCTGCAAGACTATGTTTTTTGCAAATGTTACTGAAATAATGGATTTTGTTCTCAAATAAATATGTTTATAAATATTAAGAAGGAAATATACACTGCCAGAAAAAATGCATTTTCAATCATTTCCTATGTATTACTCCCTGGAAATTCTATCATTCATTTCATATATATTTTTCCATTTTTATCCTGTTATATTCTTATAATGCATGCTTTCAAATATCATGTTGTTTTAAAAACAAGTTTGGGGAAGAATTAAAAATAGTGTTTGAATGAATTTTGCATGCATAGTTTAAAATAATTTTCCAGAAAGGATGCTGAGTTTGATTAGGAGGATTCGGCTTTAAACTGAATCATGAACAAGTTGGTGGCAAAACTGAGATGCAAAGACACAATTTATATGTTGCTGGAAAAAAACTAGTAAAACTAATTTAAAAATCAAGGAAGAAACTGGCAAATTCCTATTGAAAATATAGGAATAAAAATTGTAACTTTTAATGCAAGAGGATAAATATAATCTGATGAATACAAGACATTATGAGATGACTCATAATTGGTTTGTTATGGCCTAAATACTACACAAATAAAATTTGAATTTTGATCCCATAATTAGCATTAGTTTGGCAGTGAAGAATGAAACTTGTTCAAAATAAACAGAAAGGGGGAGGGGGAAAGCAAAAGATGAACTACAATGTTTACTTAAATTACATGTTTAGAAAAGTAGGAAAACTGAGAAGGCCACTGGTAAATCCAAATGAAAGTAAGTGGAGGAACGGACAAAATAATGGTTGATGTCTATTACTATCAGCCAACAAAGTAGGTGTGGATTGTGTGCTTTTTAAAAAAAAGGAAACTACAGATCTTTTAGAGAGGTGTGAAGGGATTTTTAATTGCACTGACATCTGTTAGAAAGCAATCTCTGCCAAGACTGGTCTCACTAGGAAATTTTGACTGGCCTGGCTAACAGCTTTCTCCATCAGTAGCTGAAAGAAGGCACAAGGGGATCAACTCTCCTTGACGTGATTCTAACCAATGAAAAGCATTTTTGTTAATGATATGGAAATAATGACCAGGCAGCACTGGAGTTCTTGATTTTATGGAAAACTATATCTGAGCATATCAGTAAATACATAATTTAGATTTCAAGAAAGTAAATTTTAGTAGAACAGTAAGTAGGTAGTTTTTAATAAAGCAGTAATACCTAAGATTTTCCTAATTGGAAAAGATGGACAGAAATTCTGAAAAAAATCTAAATTACATAGGATGTGAAAAGAAAACAATATTACAGTATTTGAGTTTGAAAAAAATGCTAATAATAAAAAAGGATTTAAATGAAGGGGGGAAGAAACAGTAAACTTGAAAGCAAATTGAAGATATAAGATTGTCACTAAAGTTGATAGTGCATCTACATCTGCTGAATGAGGGAGGTCTTATTCATTCATAAAGTCATATGAATTAAATATTATAAAGAAATATTAGGTAAAATACCAGATGGCTGGAAGGGGCTAGGGTACTATCATCACAATTATTACAAGTTGGGAACAAGTCTTATCAGTCTAAGTGCATCTTATTTACAGATAAGGTAATTTGCTTGATAAAAAGTATGGGATTTTTTTCACACCTATACCGATTAGCCAACCAATTGGTTTATTTAATATTATTGGATTTATAACCACTCAAATCACAGATGCCTCCAAGCAGCGTACATTTTAAAACTAGAAAGCAATAAAAAGGAAAAGGAAAAAATGTCTTGAAAAACAAATCCAACACACCAGAAAAAGAAAACCAAGAGAGTTTGACACCAATTCACTCCAGCCTAGAAACAAAGCCAGATTGTCAAGGATTTTTGGAATATCTATAGAGTGGGTACCATATGAATCTTGGAGAGAATGCTATTTCAAAGGACAGGTGTTGCAATCATATATGATAGCGGAAGGGACTTCCATGAGTAACTACAGTATAATGCACAAGCTAAAGAAAAACTATTCAAGGATGCCTAAGTGGCATAATGAAAATGAGAGAAAATCAGAGAAGGGTTCATTTTTAATGAAAGGGACAAATGAAAAACAGCATTTTAAAATTATGTTCTAATTTGCATTGAACTATCAGTTTTTATAGCTATCTTCACAAGAACTTACATCGTTTTACTATTTTCCTATATTAGGAAATCTTTACAATGTACCATCCCTTCCAAAGCAAATGTAGTAAAAAAAAAGTCAATTTCATGTTTGCAAAAATCAACATTCACCAATTTCATGTTTGTAAAAACCAACATTCACATTCCCTTTAATAAAACTTATATATGTTAACTTTTCATACTTCATCACAGAAACTGAAAAAGAAATTAATTTGAACATAGGAATACAAAAGACTATATACCCCTCTGTATTTTAAAGGAAATGTTTTGGAATCTCCAATATAAAGACAGACTTGAAAAATGCATATACGTAGCTAAATTTCCAGAGATAAACGACTGAACATCAGTATCGTGAACAGCAGCTAACCTTCTCAGTTATTATTATAAGAAAAAAACATTACAAACTGAGACTATGAAAACACATATACATACATACACAATGTGCCTAATCAGCTTTTCTTAGCCCATCGTTTTTAGAAGAGAATATGCAAGCTCTTTATCTGGCAAATCTGTGCCACAAAGGTCTGGCTGATGAATATCACATGGCAACCAACTTTTGCTATGAATTTTGATGAGATATGTAAATAAATGGCATCTATTAACTTCCTCAGCATTATTTGTTTCTGGTCAGAGATCTGTTGGAATAATGTAATTATATGCCATGCAAAACTAAACAATTTGGACCCCAGGAAAAAATGAAAATAATAATTAGATTATTTTTTTATCAGCTTTATTATTATTGCATTCTGAATGTTTTAAATCATATATACTTAATAATCCGTAAAACAACTGCTTAAAGAATGCTACCGTCATTCCTATTGGGAAGAATGAAATGGGATGTGTGCCATTATGTTTTCATAGTGAAATTTACTCTCTTAGCCTCTATATTAAATCTATAATCAATATACATTTTAAAATATAATGCATATATTGTGTTTTTGCAAGTTTTTCTATAGTTATTAATATGCAAGAAAAGCAAACTGCATTTCTAATGTATTCATAAAGGATAAGCTTGTCTGTAAATTTTATATAATTTTAAATCATTTCTGTTAATAACAAAAATAAAACACCAGGTCTAAACTTCATTTAATGAATTATGGAGTGTGCTATGTCATAGAAATGAATGCATTTCAGAAATAAAAATATTATAAAAACAACAATTTAGCACTCTAGTACTTATTGGTAGTGCTTTTGTATTTCTATTTTTGCATTCTTTTTTATTATTTTTATATATATTTATGATGCAGAAAATATTAATTTTGTACATCTAAACCTTGTCTTCAGACAAATCTATGCTAAGTGACCAGCAATGGATAAACAGGAATGCAGATTATACGTACAAGTCATTCTGGGGGGAAAAGAAAGAGAAAAAAATAATCACTGGGTAGTTTCTGTTAACAATGTACTCACATCTGCATAATGACCTCTCATATCACAGCGGTTGCAATGTTTTTTCCAGTACATTCTCTCAGGGCACTCTCTAGAGCAGTGTCCTGGCAAACAACAATTTAAACAAAATCGTACTGGACAGCTGTTTTGTAGGTGACCTCTCTCTGCACAAAGACAACAGGGTGGAATTTTCTGCAAAATAAACACAAAGAAACAAAAGTGATCAAACCTTTATAGAATCAGAGGAATTTAAATTAAGTAAAATAAACAAGGCACTTCCATTTATATTCACAGAGAATTTCTAAGTCCTTCGCTTAAGACCTACTGTACTATTTCATAAATTCATGCATTGCCTACACAAGGAAGCCCTCAATTAATAATTAAAACATAAGGAAAAATGAAACCGCAGTACAATAAATAAAGAGCAGAAGGTAAACAACCAGTAGCTAATGAATAAAATCATCTACAGTACTGCTAAGCACAAGGGGTCTTCCCAAAATTCCACCATAAGACCAATCTGCTTGAAAAAAAAAGTAGTTTCTTAGACCAGTGTTCCTCAGACTGGGCCAATTTAACATACATGGAATTCAACTACCAGAATCCCCCAGCTATTACTTAAGATTTAGATAACAGTACTGTAGAAAGCACTTGAAAGAAGCGGTTTACAAAGTGCATTGCTGTGATTGGAGCACCTTTCTTGAAAACATTAAAGCAGCCGTGTCCTTTGCAAACCTTATGCCAAAGCTTTGAAAGCTGGCCCCAGATGACACATATGTATGGATATAGAGATAACACTTCCACTGGAACTGCTAGTGAAGTGCACTGATAGAACCTGCTCACACCCACAGATATAGCAGGGGCACCTTTCAAAGCAGTGAGGTCAGGCACCATCCTTGCCAAGGATCCCAACTGCTGTAATGCTTCAAAGAGAGATGTTTTCATTTCTACTAACCTGTTTTGAAATGTCTTTCTGTGACAAGAACACATGAATTTGTATCTAATACCAATCAGGAAAGCTCCCAATAACTGATTATGCCAATGCATTGTCTTATCATTCTGCAATGCTCTATATACTTTTGCTCACCACTCAATTTGCCACATTGTTTAATTTTTTTGTTCTTTAAATGTCTCGTGGTATTAATGATATTAGTGTTTTGTACTCATAGTGAAATTTTACAGTTCTGTTTCTACCATCATCTTTCAGCCCATGAGCATACAACTAATAAAATGTATACATACTGGTTAAATCTATCCTGGAGATATTTAAACACGTATGTCTTTGCTATTACCCTGATAAAAAATTATTAGCACTGGGTTGCCCAAACTATGCACAATACTATGGATTCTGTAGGAGGAATTGTCTCATCAGCTCAGTGGACGTTTTTTCCCTATTCTTCTAGGCATGCGGATAGAAATAGAAAATATGTGCAAGGTGTACACAGTACAAGGTGTAAAAGCTGTGTTTTATCATTTGCTTCCTCAATGAGGGCAGAGTGGGGACTAATTATAGGACGCATGCCTGTATCTCACTTTCTCACAAGCCCTATTGTTCTGTCCACTCATTCACTAAAGTGGGGGAAAGAGAAAAGAAATCTTCAGCGAGCAGGTGGTAATCCTCAGCATGGGCCACTGGGTCTCTCTTGATTGGATTATATTGCTGAGAGCCACTGAAGAAAGCACCAACTTCAACTACTCCATCTCCTCTCTTGCAAGGGAATCACGCTCCTAACACCTTCTGATTAATCTCTAGGATAGGATCCACAATGCAAAGAAATTAGCAGGTAATGTTCCTTGGGTCTAAACTGCCAGTGCAGTTGAGAGCATGGAAATTGCTTTTTTTTTCTCTCTCTCTCTCTTTCTCAAAACGCCAGCCAGTAAAATTATTTCAGCGCTTTAAAGTCTGAAAGTCTCAGTTAGTAATAAAACAAATTGAAATACTACATTTACCTTTGGGGCAGGACAATTTTTTGATAAATGACCTCGTTTATCACAATTTCTGCAAGTGACGTTTTTGTCCGTTGTGTAGTATCTGTTGTTATGTCGCACTGAAACATAATTACCAATCTGTGCCTGAGGAAACAAAAGGATTTTTATTAGAAGTTGAAAGCTTAATGTTCTGCCACCCTAAGCTTTTATAACAATCAAGCCTAAGATATTGAATTTTTAAAAGAAAGATGTTTATTTTTATAGTATATTTATACACCCTCTAGAGTCAAGATAGGCTTCCTATCTGTAAATAAGTATCATATAAATATTTTTGCAGGACTGTATTAAGCCCTTTTCAAAGTAGTTTTTAGAAGTTACTTTTTTCCTAAAACTTTTAATCAATATTATTGACAATATTGGAAAATAATGGCATCTTTTGCAAAATACATTTAATTGAGGGAATAATCAATCTATCAATGAATGATGACCTTATTAAATTGCATACATAAAGTGCCATGAAGAAGCATCCACTGAATTGCCAACAAAAAAATATCCTTGATCAGAAATAGATCAGAAATTTACAAGTTGGTCAATATACCTTGCTATTCAAATAAAACTGAAAATTGAAAGCTAGACTAATGACTTTAGGGGGGGAAAAAATCAAGTATTTCTTTTTCCAAATATAAAAAGCTTGAGGATGACTTTTCTCAAGAAACAAAAGTATTATTCTATATTTCCATTTACTGCTATATTTTAGTTCCAAATATTTCTGATAGTCCACGGTTTAAGTCAATACTCCAATTTCTTATTACACACCATCTGCATTTTACATCTGTGCACACAGCTCCTTGACCTTTAGTTTTAAGCCCTAATACCTGGCTCAGTTTGTGCTCCTCTAATTAAATAACATGGTCACTATCAACTATAGCCTTTTGCATTAGAAAGCCAGTAGGTGCCCATTTACTGCCATTGACTATTCTGCATCACCCACATAAATAATAAATTCTCCCTAAGAAACCTTACCAGCTATGATCTTTTTTTAAAGGAAAGAAATGAAACCATGATTGGAAGCTAGAAAAAAAAGGCAGTTGCTACATTTGGGCAGATGTTAGTTTATTCTAGACATTCTGCCATTCAGTTCTCTGCAGGACCAAGTCAAGCAGAACTCCTAAGTGGAGTGAGCAATAGCGTGTGTGTGTGTGTGTGTGTGTGTGTGTGTGTGTGTGTGTGTGTGTGTGTGTGTG